CGAACGAACGAACGAACGAACGAACGAACGAACGAACGAACGAACAACAAAAAAGAAAGAAAGTTGTACCTCCTTGTCCTCCTCGGACGTTGTTTCCATTGTTGCCACCACTCGACCCGCCATTTCCTCCAGCTCCTCCAGGACAAGCACACTTACCCCCTCCCCCAGCGTACGCATTTAGCTAAAAACACACTAATATTACATAATGTATGTGACGTTTAAAATATATATACCTATAATTATTTTTCGTCAGCCCTTAGAAGTATCTGTCAGCCCTTCATTGGCCTGCAAACTGATGTAACAACCTATTTCTGCATGTATAAGAAAGTTATACAAGATCCTTGTAATACCCATGGTTCATCTTGATCCATTCTCTTATCGATCCTTCTAACAATTCACACATGAATCACTCGTCTCATTTCATGAAGGGTTTTACTAAATACTTCAAATATACTTACTGCTGTTGAAGCACTTCCTCCGTCACCACCCTTTTGACCCGAGCATCCTGAGCCAGCCCCTCCACCACCACCCCCTGAGAAATGACCACCTCCACCACCGCCCCCTGCACCATCGTTGCTATCTACCGTCGAGTCACCACCTCCTCCTCCAGAGTTTAATCCCCCAGAACCCCCAGCGGCACCTATGAGAACAGAAACATTTTTTAAAAACTTTTAGAAACAATCAGTTAACCAATCGATGACTAATCGATCAAAAATCAATTATCAATCTGATGTCAATCAATCGATGACTTATCGATCAAAAATCAATTATCAATCTGATGTCAATCAATCGATGACTTATCGATCAAAAATCATGCAATCTGATGTCAATCAATCGATGACTTATCGATCAACTGCGATCAACCAATCAATTTATCACAAATCAGTCAATCAACCGTTGACGATCAATCGATGTATCAATCAATCAATCACAATGGATTTATCAATCGATGACTAATCCATTAAAAAATCGATCAATATATCAATCAATGAGCCCTTTTTCAGATTTTATGAATCAGCCAACTTAAGCTGGGGGTCGGGATGACATCGATTGGCTATTGCT